TTAATCTTTTACCTAATTTATCTAGATTTACCAAATATATGTTGGTTGTATTACAAGGAAAAGCCACATTTTCTTGACCTCTCTACCTGTCTCCCACACAACTCCAAAAGTCAGCAAAGCTAATCTAAAGACCTGCGCTTCTACTTTTTCTATTCTTTGGGGCTTTAACTGCCTTTTTATTATGTATACTTATGTATTATAGCCCAACATATAAAGACTGTGCCCAGTAATCAAGGTAATCACAAAGGCACGAAATATTGTAATGAGTCAACTTGTCCAACTACAACATCTAATAGCGAAAGATCGGGAAGAGTTGATAAAAAATCTGATAAAAGATCAGGCGAAATAGATAAAAGATCTGATGAAAGATCAGGAAAAAGATCGGGAAGAGTTGATAGATGCACGTAACGAATTTCGGACAATGGCTGTGTTGAAGTAAGTGTAGCATAAGGGGTGCGTTAGAGTTTGTCCGCTCGCAGGTAACTGTTTGCGTTCATATTTTTTTGTTTCTGTTGTTCTACCTGATTTAGACTCCAGTTCTCATTTCCGACAATAGATTTTACGCTGGTAATCGAGAGAAATCGCTGGTAATCACCGCAACCTTGAAAAAGTCCTCGGCTTCGAAAGAGTTCGTTGTAATAAACTCAGCTTCTGGTTTTAGGTAAAAGTGACCGCTGGAGTGGTCCGCTTTGGAAATCACTGAGTAACGGTTTGTACTGACCTTTCTTCGTGCGCGCGCGCGAGTAATCACGTTTGCAAAAAAAATTAGTGTGACTGACAGCAGGGGGACCTAGAATTTTGAAAAGGGCAATAATACAGTGAACTACTGTCTATATAGTCACACCATTTTGGCACAATGCAAATTTGAAAAAATGGTGATTATAGATAGATGTGACTATAGACAGAGTAAATTCCTTATGTTCTATTATGAAACTGGTACTAAAGAAAATGTAGGAGAGTGTGACTACAGACAGAGTTTTCATATGGTGTGACTATAAATGAAGGGACTATAGACAGTAGTTCACTGTATAATCAATGAATAGAATAAACTAGATCTAATTGTTGATAACAAATTTTTTAATATTATTATCTTTGGACAAAACGTAACTCGCATTGTAAATTACATTCAACATCGGTTCAGTTTTCACATTTATAATTTACAGGTGCTGTATATTATATCGTGTTTTCTCAGTTGATGTGTTGACAGAATAATAGCATCATGCAATTACGATTGATCTCAATAGAATGTTGAGTTTGGAAATAGGAGTATGTTAACAAAATGTTTGTTAGTAATATTTGCACGTTAACATAACGTTAGCTTGTATGGTAATAGGTAATTAAAGACTTGCGTTATTAGTTCTTCTAAGGAATACGTACTAACATTAATAAACAAGGAGCTGCACACACGTTGTAGTCATCAGTGTCTTCAATACAGCTTTCAAATATGAAATGTGCTATTACATAACCTGGTAAGAATAAAGTAATTTAACATGCATAATAATAGTTATCATTCAACTGAAATACAAATTTACTTTTATACATACAGCATTATTAGTATTTATCTATTACAGCATTATAACCGTTACTTAATCGTTATCTACAATCATTTTATATCAAAATACTCAAACTTGTTTACATATTTATGAATTAACTTAAATAAGTTATCTTGAGTGTTGACTATTAATGCTTAACACCTTGTTCAGCTTTTTCAATTTCAAAATCTAATGCACTCCTAAGCTCAAGTATCAAGTAACACCATAAATCTTGATTACTTTAATAGCTAATTCAATATCAAACAGAGCTTTTTTCGGTTTTCTATTTTTATCTTTGATGACTGCTATATATGGCAATATTACTATGTGAACTTAGCTTATGTACAGTAGGAAGAAAAAAATTTTTTTTTGAAAAACTTGAAATCAATGTTGCTCCGTCACTATAATCACGTATTATACATATATTGTACTCAATGGTATATGAGTACGGGAGTGCAACACGTATCCATTCGTTCCATAAATGTAATAGTGCTTGACGTTATGTTTCTTTAGATGATGGTGACGTTTTAACTTTGATTAAAGCAAACAAACTCAAATCAAAAATTTACGAGCAGATAACAACAAAACACGCCACAATTTGCATTTTTAATGACTTGCGATTCGGACTTAAATTGAGTAAATTACACATGTACAAAAACTCGAAATAATGTTTTCTTCCTACTGTATATGCTTAAAGTCTTACAATTGTTATCTATATATGACATAAGTAAAAGTTACTGGATAATAAGTCAAACCATAACTTTCTACTATGTTAATGAGTAAACTTCTTCAATAATTTTATTGTAATCGACAAGTCAAAAATAAACACCCAGAAGTTACACTTAGAGTGAATAGTGTAAACGAAGAGCCAAGTTATATAGTCTGTATTATGTAGAAATTTATTGGCAAAATTTTTATAATTTTTATTTATAATAAGCATGTATTCACTATTGTAACAAAAAGTGCATTTGGACCTGCAAATTTTATCTTCATTCTACCCAGATTTAATAAACAGTAAATTTCTTTAACACTAAAGGTTGGAAATCTATTTTACAATTATCATGAATAAAAATTTTTTTATTTACATTTTCTAATAATTCGAGTTCAACAAATCGAATTGATTGTACAATATTCACCTTTCTCTGTCAAATTTACAAACTCGAAACTAAAACTTGTGTGGGTCTTAATTGATGTTATTATAATAGTTAATAATTGCCCACAAAATATCAAATGTAGACTGCACCATTTTAAGAGTCTATTCACAACAGGACCATTTTAGACTGCTTAACTATAATAGTCTTCAATCTAAAACAAGTTCTTTTAAAAAACAACAAATATTGATCATATATAACTTTCGATTAGAACAAGGTCATCTGCTAAAATTGTCAGTTAAAGTTTTCCAAGCCCATAACTTATGAGACCAAATAATAAGAAAGTGAAAAAATTACAGTTCAAAAAACTTTTTACAAAAAAATAGGTGTAAGAGTAACGAATTCACTATCCTCTAACTGTGGTGGTAGTTCTAGTCTTAAACCTGGGCCACAATTTCTTAACCATGCAGCATATAGCCAGAAAATTTCCAATGCACATAAGTGCAATACCAACCGCCCTTATAATGCGATACGAATTCCTGCAGCCGGCAACGCATTTATTGAAAGCATTTAAAGCACTTGGGCGAATAGGGGGGTTATTGAACCGACAAGTCTGGAAACAATTGCTTCTTATCGGCTTTGCCGTCGCGAACATCACAGCTCCCACGACAATAAGCAACAAAGCTAATATTACGCCAGTTAGTAACCAATTACACCGATATCCACTTTTTTTCTTCTTTTTCTCCTCGGTTGGTGTCGAAACAAACGTCGCGGGGGTAGAACTATTGTGGCCCTGGCCAGATGTGACTGGATAAACCGTATCGGAATTGTAATTGGGATTATAAACCGCCTGGGGAGTGTAAAATGTCTGAGAATTGTAAACCGTTTCGGGAGTGTAAACCGCTTCAGAATTGTAAACCGCTGGATTGTAAGCCGTTTCGGGATTGTAAGTCGTTTCGGGATTGTAAGCTGCTTCGCGAGTGTAAGCTGTTTCGGGATTGTAAACCGCTTCAGAATTGTAAACCGCTGGATTGTAAAACTTCTCGGAATTGTAAGCTGTTTCGGAAGTGTAAGCTGTTTCGGGAGTGTAAGTTGTTTCGGGAGTGTACACCATTCCTAATTGCGTATCTGCATTCGAACTCGCTGGCTGCGCTTCGGGAGTGTAAACTGTATTGTAAAACGTTGCCGGATCGTAAACCGTTTCGGGACTGTAAGCTCTACTCATTATCGGAGAAGATGGTAGATAACTGGATTGCAAATTGGGTGGTGAACTGGGTGGCGAATCGGATGGATTCCAACTGTAATAAGAATGCGGTGGTGGCGACTGTGTAGGATTGTTGTTGACATTATCGCCGCTATTCGGTCGTAGAGACGGGGGATGCTGGTTCGCCATGTTAAAGAACTAGAGGAGAATAAAGAAGTGAAGAATGAAGCGTAAATTAATAAAAGGAAGCCTGTTGTTTAAGTTGTTTCTTCCCAACTATGGGCAAGGAAGACAATAGTAGTAAGTCACATAGTTGTGCTTGAATTCACAAAGTGACAAATAAATGCTAAAATGTAATTTGAGAGAGGTTTTTTACATACTCTTTACTTTTTTTTGTTTTTGCGATGATAAGGGGCAAAGTAACGCCCACCACCGCAAATTGAAATGAAAACCGGATGGTGTAATCAGGTGTTCTGTGTGAATAATCTTATGTAACAATGGTTTTGTTCATTTGTGACCGACGTTCACCGGGGAAACAATTAATATATATGCGTGTGTCAACCCTTAGTGCTTATTAGAGGAAGTTGGGGATCAGCAGATTGATATGTGTGTAATACAAGTGGTACTGACCAAACAACCTATTTCGATAATCTTTGTGTGTAGTTTCAGATAATCGAAAAGTAAATGTACAAATGGCTTCAACAGATAATAGACACTGAGAAACTTGAAAGCTTTGTTAATGTTCAGCAGGGACGTCTTTAAGGAATTTATCACCCAACTCCCATTCTATTTTACAGCTATGCACGCCGCAAAAAAAATTGACCGGAAAAGTCACATTTTGTTACACATACATGATAACTCCCCTTACGTTACAATTTGTAAAATGAACTTATCTAAATCACCGAGGCGTATAACTTTACATGGTCAAAATAATGCACAAGTTACATGTTTAGTTTCTTACTCTTTGTTCTGCCAAAATTAGAACATCCCAATGTTGTGTGACTCATACTGATCATGTAAATAACGCTAACCAGTTTTGCCCTGTTATCTTAGTTCTAGACCTTACCTTGTATGAAATAGACAGCAGATATCGATAAAGCAACTTACATAAGGCAGACACAATGTCCTCGATAAAGCCCGCTTATTTGTTACACAGAAACACAAACACATCATAGTTTTCTTAGCGCCAATCTTGATTATATAACGACGTACGAGGTGGGGAGGGTTTATAGCTTATGAAATTGCTTAATTATTAATCATAATTACGTTAATGCTATAGGATTGCTGACTCGAACAGTTCTAGCTCAACAACTGCCAGCTGTATATTGCGACGTCAAGTTCTCCGTCAATGGCGTCTCCTTATATCAACAAAGTACAACACTATATATCAAGGAAGTTTTCCTAAAATTATACTTAGATTAATGGAGCAGGGCATACTTCAACAGACGCACAAATAAAAGAATTATTAATGGACATGCAATATTTATGCACCCAAATACATTCTTGAATATAAAGGAGAATCGTGTCAGTCGAAGTATTAACAAAAAACATGAAAAGGCTATATTTTGTTCCACAAGACCATAAAGTGTTTTCGGAAGAACGGAATGACAGCTAAGAACTGTTATAACTATACTAGAGCAAATGTGCCAGTTTAAACGTAAATGTCAATTCATCCGTCAATTTTTTGCTGATATTAGAAAGGCAACTTCCGTGCGTAAACAGATAGATGAAAAAACTATACAGGTTGGAGGGAAAATCAAAAGCCTAATTGTGCAGAATTTAATAATCCCAATTAAAGGTTTCAAGTGTAATTACGATAACAAATATCTTCTTAAAATTGTTTAAAACACATTGAAGCTTTATAATGAGTCTTTTCACGTTGAGTTTTCAGGTGAAACCATGGTATACGGCTTGGAGAAGACTTAAATAATACAAGACAGTCTTGACAAATGAAATAGTGTCAACAAGAAGAGTCTGGTATTTCAACAAGTTTCAAAGAACGAGTGCTTCTCGAATATCTTTGATATCACGTCAATTTATGATGCAGCAAAGAATTCAAACGTCAGTGATGAGCTCTGGTTTGGTATTTTAGATTATTATTCAACAGCTTATTTTGAAAACTTATTCCCACGGCATTTGCTATTTTACAGCGTTAGATTCCCTGACTAATACAGTCAGTGAATCGATTCAATTTAAATCGATCGAGGTTTTACTGAGCTAAGAATAGTGAATTATTGTAACAACGCATGATGACAATGCTGGATGTAAAGAGGAATACATACCAAGATTAATTGACATTTACCTTTACTTAAATAAAAGTTGGGGACTGAATCAAGAATGCTTTTAAATTATTTACCAGACAAAGTAGAGACGAGTAATCAAAATAGAAAAGGGAAAGGGAAAGAAAAGTGTGATGAGAGAAGCCCGAGAAGACCAGTCGATTATATATCAGAGGGTCTAAGATGCTCGATCACTAATGAAATAGTTGGTGATTTTTGTCAACTTAAACGTCAACATTTTATTAGCTCTTCTATCATTGGCAAAACTAGAATGTTCTTATTGCAGATGTAAGATTAGGAAAGATGAAATGTTATACAAACAATTTACCAAACGTTTAACATTTTATTACAGATAATAATTGTCAAAATATTTATAAATCCAATGAAAAGTATAATAACAATGCTGTTACAGAGCTAACTTATGAGTGTGACGGCTTCAAAAAGCAAACAAAGAGGAAAAAAAGACTGGATTTACTTGGAATTCAATCTGGAAGACGTTAAAGGCGCCAAATATATATACCAATGGTGACTTGGAAAACGCTTTGAACATCTGCACATGAAGATTAAATATTACAAGCTGATCCCACAATTATTTAGCCTTACGTTATGAGCAGCTATCAAATTAGCTATGAAAAATTTTGAGAAGGCCTTGTTTGATATAAAGACAGCAATTGAAGTAGACAAATCTGAGCTTGAAAAAGCACTGTAGAACTTGATAATAATAACAGAAAAGAAGACATCAGACATATTAATATTCCAAATATACAAAATTTGGCAATTGATGTAGTTTATGGATTTATAACAAGCTTGAGTATTTTGATATTGAGTAGTTTAAATTTTTGTGGATAGTTATTCTGCCAAAGATTAAATGATGCTGAACAATCGCAAGCACTGTATCTATGCCAATTTGGATCAGACTGTTACACAAGATGGTTTGATTCTGCTACAAACTTGGTATAGTAATGCTCTATGTAAGCTGGAAAAGATAGAAGCATTTTTTAAAAGTTTTCTATATGCACAAAAGTGAGTTGTCAATGTGATTGCTGATTTTGTTTATTGCATACTATGCTTTTGAAAGTTATATTGAAAACTGTTTTCTATGTGTGTATCTGTTTGATAAAAGAGTTTTGTTTGTGGTTGGGAATGTATGAGCAAAATAATGTGTGCTATTATTAAATTACTAACACTAGAATAACTATGGTTTAATGACTAAACAATTTATACTAGTTGATAATACCAATATTTCATGTGCCTCCAGACCAGTATAAAAACTCAGCATTTTGGTGTACACTTATAATAAATTGACAAATTTAGCAATTGCAGTGAGTATTGAACGAATATTATTAATTCAAGTTTAATTATTATTATTATTAATACAAACGATTAACTTTGTAGATAAACACATCAACTGAGAGAATATAAATACACGTGAAAACTAGAGACTGCTATTTTACCATATATTGACATTTTGTCCGAAGATAATATTATTAACTCAATTTTGTGCCCCGCAGTACAAATATTCTAACGTTAATTTATTTAGTTACCCTATGAACTTATAGACTTTTTACTGAGTTTGTTTATATTCAAGAGAAAATTTACTACTCATAGAAAGTAATTTAAAAATCGATACACTTCCAACTGTGTGCGTTCTCATCAGTACCTCCCCCGCCATATTTAGTAGTAGGTAGTTTGCCAAATCTGGCAATAGTTTGGGAGAGGTAGAGGGGAGGTAATTTACCTCCCCGAGTGCTAAGCTATCTCCCCTACCAAATTTAGTAACGAAACGTTACCAAATTAGAGCACTCTATATCATGATAGGCTTGCGGCCCATTTGAGCTAGTCAATAATGATACTTCCCAAATGCAGTAGGGGAAGTAGCCAAATTTAGTAACTCGAAGCGCCACCATATCTGGTAGGGGAGGTAACTAATGAGAACGCACTGTATTACAGTCAGGGATTTTACCAAAAATGGACAGTTGATCAGAATATTCTAGAAATTTCGAAAATTTATTCCATCGATTGGATATATGGTATGTTTATAGAACCAATACTATCAACTTTATTATCTGAATTAACAAAGATTTACCTCATCTAATATCTTCAACAATTCATCTTGCCTTTTAGATTTTATATTACCATACCTCTTCCGAAGGCTCACTCATTTGTTCAAGAAGAGCTTCTATCTTGCAAGTAATTTCTCCCTTGGACATATTAGCTTTATCTTGGTAATTGGAATCGGCCTAAAAAAAGAAGCTGGATTATTATTAAAGAAAACTTCAATAATATACTCTTGACGAGATTTCTTTGCTAAATCAATAAGATTTATCAATTGGGAACTCGGTTCATTTTCATTGCCTAAACTTTTACAGATAATCTTCGGCTTGTCGGATTGAGAAATTTATCCTTTCTTAAACGGGTCCGAAATCTCTGGCATTTTGCAATAATTTCTGGTCGGTTCCTTGGGCCAGTTGTTTGAACGTCATTATATCTGCCATGGCTCCTTTGTAAAGCTTTTCATTATTTGGAGAATTTATTGAAATTATTGTGAGTTAACGTTTCGATAAACTTTACAATAACTTGATTGCGTCTATTTAGTCATGTCTGCGGCATATGTTGTAATAAGTTCTCTAAGAAAAACCGGCTGTTATCGCTGATCAAAGATTCAATGTCTTCATATAAAGACTTCCGTTCAAGTTGTGCGATATCGATAACAGCCAATACCGCGAATTCCATTGTTTGATAAGAATCCCGTTCGCTTCAAGTTGCTCTTCATGCAATTCTTCGACTCGCAATCATATTATTGTATGTCTTCCGTAACCGTTCCTTCAATTCTTCCATTTCATTCTTTGATCCTCGAGTTGCTGCCGGTTGATGATTGAGGTCAGTTATTAATTGCGATTTTTGTTGATTTTCTCGTTCCTTATACTCTACAAGTCTTCTAACTCTATCAAGCTCTGCGGTATTGTCTTCATCAGTACTGAATCATTCTCTTGTCCGGAACCTGTTACATATTGGAAAAAAATTATTATTAGCAACAATCTGGTTATAATGTCTCTCTGGGTTTCGCATCGAGTATTGGAGGGGAGGAGAGGAACACGAGTATAACGTCTTTTCACTGTTTATTATTCAAAAAGTTTTAGGGATAGTCCATATTTATTACTCGAGTAAAGTAACGCTTTTTGCGGTACCCAACATGGAAATCTTTTTTTTGAAATTAATATGGAGTTGCCTTTAACTAATTATTTGGAAAAGACGCGTAAGCTTGCAAAAGAAATGAGTGTGGGTGTAAGTTGCTACTACATGCTTTATAAATGTTTGTCAAATTTATTAAGATTGAAAAGGTTAGACTGATGTCTGTAAATTAAGTAGCTTTGTTTCGGAAAGATCTATACATGTTTAGCTCATCACTGGAGACTGAAGGCAGTTACTATAAGAAGTTTATTGGAAATGGCAACTCATATTTGAAATTTTTAAATATTGTGGGATCAGCTACGAAGCGTAACGCAAAGATTCAAGAATAGAATTATTCATCAAAGAGTCAGTTGGTTGTTTTTATTTTTTTCTACCGTTCTCAGCTGATTTTAGTTCTTATAGAAATGGCATTGCCCTATTGCTTACTGGTATCATTATTGAACCGTCGGCAATAAAAGATCTTTGTTAGCAGTAATGTGATTTGCTAAGTCCACACTGTTGTAGCAACAAGCCTTACTACCATCTATAGTCGATCAACTATGCCTGAACTTATTCATTTGATTTGTTAACTCGATTTTGTCTTCTCGGTTTGGACTTATAAATTTCGAGCCGCAATAATTAGCAATACTCCCTAATTCTATAGGCAAATTTATTCGAAAACACAGTGGATTTTGTTAATATAATTCAGTCAAGTTATTCGTGTAAAAAAAACCAACCCGCGTGTTTGGACGGCCTTTCGTGTGGGTGTGTGATTGTTGGTCCGACTACCGAAGCGCTTGCTGGGGAGAAACATATATTTACTGCTGGAGCTGGTGAATGCTAAATTGGTTGTTTAAACATAACTTACTGCGTATACACCATTAATAGAAATTCTCGTTCTAAGATAATTATCGTCATTACACAGTGCGTATAATTTGTAAAATCATCTTATTATTGAAAAGTAGTTCGATAATTATTAGTAAAAACTCACCAATTGAGTTAAACTTTCAGTTTCTCCTAAGATAATGCAATTAATGATAGAATATGTCTAATACGTTATAAAGTGTTTTCTTATGTATGTCATCATTTTATTGCATAGTGTAAAAGTGCCGTACGCAATTGTTGGGTCGAAGGCGGATGGTCACCCTATGCACGAGCTTGTGTCTCTTTAAAATAAATTTATAGTAAATAACGTATTAATAATATATTTATCATTTAACTTTATTCTCGAATGTTAAGTTCAAAAGCCTGGTCTCTTTATAATAAGTAACATCACTCGTTCGATAAAAGGAAGACCTTAGAAGTTTGTGTTTATTTATGTAATGATAAAATAATGCCAATTTTACATGTTTTTACTTGCCAGTTTGTTTAGATCTACATTTATAGAATGCGTCTGGAATTTCGTTCTCATCTCTACACCCTGACTTTTAATCGCATATCCGGCTCTTAGGCGTCTTTTTTTCTACATCTTATTACAACATGTGTTAAAAATTGTACCAAACGAAATGATGCAAAAATTACGAAATATCAAGCATCGTGACAGAGCATTCTGGTTTAACTTATAAAATGTTCGTTCCAATAATAAAACTGGTCATAGTCAATCATCTTTACACCAGTTGGCAGTGTTTTGATTCTTAAATTTCTTTCCATAGTTTGCAACTTTTTTTCCGAATATAAACAAACCCAACAAAGATTCACGGATGGCTAAAATAAAGTTAGGTTAGGTTAATTAAATATGTTTAACACTAAATTAATGAAGAAAAATAAACAATACTCACATAACCAATTAATTTTATAAGAACGTCACGTCCATACCAGGACTGAATGTTAATCTCGCATGGTAAAATGTATTCTGCATAGTCGTTGTTATCTTCGGTTATTAACTTGCTTTGTATACTTTCACTTGATGTTATTATCTACAAATTAAGATTTCTTTATTTAGCCTATAAGCTAAGACTATAATCACATTTTTTATTAATACCTGGTACTTACTATGACACTTAACGTTACCACCGTCAGACTATTGCACAACATAATGCTGAGTTTGTATTTATTTTGAGGTACTCGTATTATGGGTATGTGTAACTAATTTAAAATTGCTTATTAGTTAATACACAGGATATTGGGTATTGCATTGATAATTAAACACTTACATAATTATTTTCGGAGAGATACAAAGAATTCCAATCACTATTAAATGACATGCGTTAGTAATAATATGATAAACTAAATAGCTATTTAAAAATTACATACGTACGCAGAGCATTTATTAGCGTCTTCAATAAAACTTTCAAACGCAAAATGCGCTTTCAGATTATCTATTTAGCATAGAGCAATTAATATGTATAATAAGATAACGTTCGCACAATCAATGCAACACTTACTTTTATGCATATATAAAACTTTTTCAGAAAAGGCGACTGTTTTTCTAAAGTTATGTGGAGAATTGTTATATGTTTCATACCAATCTGTAGCAGTAGCAAACCATTGAATCAGGTCTTTCCATTGATCAATCTCATTTAATTCATGAAACACTCGATAAGGACAACTATTCACAAGGATTTTAAACCATTCCAAATCAAAGAGCTTACGTTCGTTTACATATTCATGAATTATATCAAATGCTGATTTTTGATAATCTGGAGTATTAATATGTCTAATATCTTTTCTCACTTTGTTTCTATCACCAAGCTCTATGTGTGCCTTTAAACTCAACAGCCAAACGTTGACATCAAGCTTGTTTACTTCAAGTATTGTCTCAATGTCAATCAGAGCATTTGTATAATTTCCCATCTTAAACTTGGTGGTAGCTCTATTATATAGAGCCGCGTAATTTGTGGGATTAGTTTGTAATATTTTCGAGTAGATTTCCAAAGCCTTCTTCAATTTTCTATTGTCGTATGCACGTTTAGCCTCATGAAATAACCCATTTATGTTAATTTTCGATACAAGAAGGGAAGAATCCCTTTCTATGTATTTCTTTTGATTTCTTTTTAATATCCTCATAATTGACTTTAAGGTAGACATCTGGTCGTAATTTTTTACTCTTTTATTCCTCTTTTGTTTTTTAAGATCATCATATTCAAATATGTTTATATCTGCATTGCTCTCAGTATCAAACCTTTTCATATTTTGATCCTTGTCTTGATTTGCTGCAATATGTTGCTGGACATTTTTGTATATCGTTTGTTGAGGTAAGTAATAAACTTCATTTTTTCTGATTTGGCTTCTACAGTACGGACACTCAGGCTTTCCAAGTAGTAAAAGAGCTTTGGAGCTAATAAAGTGTTTGCAATTAAGTTGATACAAGTCACCAACTGCTTCACAAGTAATTGTGCAGGTAAAATCTTCTGCAATATAATCAATAAGGTTTCGTTCATGACTTTTTGCTTTTCCTTTCCCTTTCTTATCCTGTGTATTTATCTCTACCTCATCTGGTGAGTATCTTAAAAGCATCTTTAATTCAATTTCAGATTTTTCTTTCAAGTAATAGTAAATGCCCACCAGTTTTGGTACATGCTCCTCATTACAACCAGCAATATCATCAGGTGTTGTAACAAACAGTTCATTATTTTTAGCTTCAAGGCTCAATAAGACTTCAATTGATTTAAATTGGATAAACTCACTTTGTGCATTGTTCAATGAATCCAATGCTATATAATAACAAATAGCTTGTATAGTTGGAAAAAGGGTTCTCTTGATAAGCTGTTGGATAATATCCAAAATGCCAAACCAAAGTACTTCACTAACTTCTTTGTTTTCAGCTGCATCATCAGAATAACACAAACTGATATGAAACCAAAGAAACTCAAGAAACAGCCTTTCCTTAAAAATAGTTGAAATACCAGAATCCCGTTCTTGACTCCATTTGTCAAGAATTATTTTGCAAAATAGTATGTTTCTCCAAGTTGTATACCATGGTTTAGTTGATGGTTTAACTCGAAATGCTTCTACAAGATAGTCCCATGTTCTCTTTAAGTCAAAATCACCGAGAGGAACTTCGATACCTGTTGTAGCTTTAATTCCAATTTGTGCTAAACCAGGAATGGAAACTAGTAGCGCTTTTAATACGGTTAGTGCTCGATCGGCATTAGTCTGTTGTTCATTCATATCATCTTGAATATTATTTAATGTGTTTTTAATAATCTTAAGTAGATAGTTGTTGTCGTAATTACACCTGAATCCTTCACTACTATTATCATTCGAAACACTAAATTCTGCAAATTCAGATTTTCGTTGATTCTGTATGCTGTCTTCGTCAACTTTTGTAATCTTTTTATTGTTCTTATTGAACACAAAGATAGCGTTTCTAATGTCACTGCGCAATTGATGACTGAGCCGATAGCCTCTCTGAAACATCTGTTCGAGAATAGCCATAATAGCTCTCAAGCGCCATTCCAGTTTAATTGTAGTTTCTTTTGAATATGTAGCAATAGATGTGTTACGAATTAATTGCTGGATGGCTTCTTCCAGCAGTTCTTCCGATATTAAAGCGCCATTGCATTCGGCAACGTATTCGAGCGCATAAAGATTTTCTGGATACTTGATTCCATCCAGCAGTTCTTTTACTTGAGCATCTGCTGAGGTATGTCCTTGTTCGATTAATTCGAGTAAAAGCTTGGGAAAAACTTTGTGGTTTGCGAGGTTCGTCGTCGGAATGGACGTAAGCGAACTAGTACTAGTATCCGTATAAGTAGCATTCAAGCTATCACCCTTAATTAACAATAACGCATAAGAAAATATAGACGTATTTGTGTTGCATGCTAATACGGGTTTCTTACCTCGCTAGCCATGACAATAACACTTTATCTGTACTTGTAAAGGAACTTGCCGTTACAATGTAGATAAGATCGATAAACATGCACTGTAACCTCATGTTCAACGGGGGGGTGCATTTGATGTTGCACATGACCATAAGTTTTGAGTTCAAAATATCCCGGGAAAGCGCGAACCCAATACTAAATACAGTACCTCCGTAAGTGCACGCCCTTGGGACTCAGCATTTGTGTGCACTTAGGGAGGAGGGTGTGCACTTATAGAATAACGAATAGAAAACCAGACATTGTTACACTTTAGTAACTATTCCGTACTTTAAGAAAAATATGTATTAATGTTAATTTAGCCATTAATTCGTTCAATACCCAGTAATAAGTTAAAAATTCTCTCTATTTCTTTTTTGTTTGTTTAATTTGGAAACTGATTAAATTTTTGAGTATTTCAAGATACAGTGTGCAAAGAGGGTGTGCATTTATGAAGAATGTATTTATGGGGCGTGCACTTATGGAATGGATGGTGCACTTATGGAGGTGCCACTGCGCCAGCAATTTATTCGACAATTTGGGGGGGTGTATACTACTTTAAATTGGGGTTCAGCCTATTTCTGCCGATCATGATTTTCGTCCAAAAAAGGACTAACAAAGAGATTTACCGCAGGTCGTACAGGCTCAAATATTATTATTGTCCTTTCAATTGGACTCCATAAATAGGAATATTATTCAGGTTGTGTGACCTGGCAGGTAAATCCTGATAATAATAACAAAGAGTTTTGGATATCAAAATAATCATGCGTTTCCACCGATAGACCAATACTTGCCACACAAAAAGCCTTAGCCTATTGTTGTTTACCAGACATGTCATAATAATATTACACACATAACAATAATTTGCATTCGAGACTAAATTGGTTGCAGTCGTTGAAACAAACGTTATATTGTCTTGTACTGCAGTTTAAGCATATGTGGTGTTCGAACGTACGTATTTGTCAATACATATGTAGCAAGTCATTTCCGACATGCAGTGATGGATTATTAATTATGGTTGACTTGTAAAATGTGAACGGAGGCGGGATTCTTTATATTGGTAGCTTCTTTGTGGTTGTGTTTGTGAATAGCAGAACATGTTTGGTCAACATATGTGGCTAATAACTGACCGTGTAAGTGTGGCAATGATAAGTGTCTGTCGGATAAAAAATGACAATGAAAAGACAGATGATTGTATAGTTGAGAAGGAAATGCACAACTTTTAGTTTCACAAGAGTATTGTGTACGTTGATGTTGCGTCAACAACTAGCTCCGCAAGTTTTGATTCAGGTATAAGACTCTTTGATATCATATGCAAATTGAAGGCTATAATCACGGATATCGATTGTTTATGCCAAGAATAGTTTGAAATTCAACTCACAAAACAGTAATTTCATACGGTTAAACGAATATATTATGTATTAAACTTTATTCAATCCCGAGAATCTGAACGATTCATCGACCGAATGGACAATTAATTGAAAGTCGTACTATGTAGATTGTCGTTTAGATCCGGAATCAATTGATTATAGAGATTTCCGAAAAGCTGGCTTTCCACATGCTTCAGGAGTGATAATTCCAACGGTATAGCAACGTAAATAAACGCTAGTATTGAGGGAACAAATATTATTAGCGTTCTTATGGTTAGAATGTTATCCAGCCAATTACAACCATGCTAAAATTTCTCCGCATTTTGTTATTGTGTGTGTTACCCGAATTTGTAATACCCAACCAAATTTGTTTGTCGTAAGAAAAATGGTGTGTGACATGCTGCAAACATTTCAAACGAAAAACGGAAAGCAAAAGGGGATGTATCAGCAATAGCACCAAAGATAAAAAATGACTTTGTGTAATCTTTGCGATGCAAGACATTATTGTCAATGCAGCAAATATTGCATGACAGCAGATAGGTTGGGGGAGGGGGGAGAAAAGGGAAGAGAAGGGGGAGATCGACCAAGAGTTAGTGCCAATTGGCATAATCGAGTTTGGCAGAATAGTCAAACACAGGAAAAACTAGTAGAAAGATCCGGTCAACTACTTGCTAATTCCTCGCCACACTGAACTAATATCAGTTAAGAAGAATGATCGGCAATGACGATTGTGTAAAGTTTTCCAAATTCGGTGCCATTAATATTCCATGATACGTTACACTGCTTGAAACTTTTTTTTTTTCATCACTTGTCAGACGCAGTTTTTTAGGTATAGTATAATTATCATTATTTATATGCGAAATTGTAAGTTTCAAAGCTACATGAGCAGAAAGTTTCCCAACTATCCTCTAACTAATTGTAAGCGGAAATGATGATGATGACTATAATGTCGATTATAATAATAGGTGACAGTGACAACAATATGAAAGTAATATAATACTACATACATTTTACATTTGCATTTGCATTTGCTGCATTGGCTGTTGTTGTTGATTCATCTGCTGCTGCATTAGATTATACGCGAAAGCGCCATCTCCCAGTAGTAAGGCCGCTCCAATAACCAATAAAGCGATGCCACTACCTTTGAGTGCGTTATATGTACTCTTGCATTTATCATAACATTGTAACTCCGAAGAATAATCAGTATAATAGTAATCGTATGAGTAATCCGTGTAAGAGTTGATGATGCAGTTTTTGATACAACTGGCAAATGACGACTTTGACACTCCCAACAATATAGCGCCGACTATAACAAGTATGAATGCAAAGATTGCAATATAGATTTCCTTGGTCATGCGAAATTTCTGTGGCGGTGGTGGAGGTACACTAGCCATCGTGACTGGAGGATTATTGTCGAAATTCATTACCGGAACTCCCATCACTGGGTTACCATTCTCATCGACTGTATATACTACAGGGTTATTTGGGTCTGGATTCCCATCTGGACCAAGGGCGTATACTACCGCCGGATTGTTTGGGTCGTTAACTGCATATTGCGTAGGATTATCCTGGGGTGGGTTAATAGGATAGTTGCTACCATCGTGACTCAGAGAGGAGGGTTGCAGTGAAGGAGAATAACTGATGGTTGAGTTTTGCAGATTTGGAGAGTTGCTGCTGCTGTACTCGGCGGCCATATCGATAGATGAGAGAGAAAAGAATAATGTGCTTTTTTTACGATAAGTAAATTGGTGTCTATTAGTTTTATATATATGAATATATGAATGTGTATATATGAGCTGTAAGGATTTATCAAATGAGAATTCGATAGAGTTCACTTATTCGTGACAAAAAACCGTTGTAATATCTTCGACAAACCCTCTATATACTTTCTGCTCGGGTAGTGGAGAATAATGAGCGTGAAAAAATAATGGGCAACCAACTAACGAACTGAAGAATAGAATATATGATAAAGCACCACTTTTATTGCTATGGATTGACGTTTGGCAATGCTGTCATAGGTCCATTAAAATTAATGAGCGTACAAGGTTTTTGATTATTTTTAGTCTGCTTACACCAATCAGAGTGCATAGAACACAAATAGTCGAATTTCAAATCAGTATATATTATGCAATAACAAGCAACCGATGTCGAGGAACGTCTTGTGTCCTTTTTTGAAACGTTGGGTGTACCCCAGAATGTTTAGGGTGGGTGTATGCCGATCTGCGCTTATTTTATTGTGCTGAAACAATGCTGCGGGTAAGATTTGTCGGAAAGCTGATTGAATCGATAGCAGTACAAAGCGAAAAGCTTAGCGCGCATTACCAACTATTTGCATAATTATTAGTAATACCGAGGTGAGGTGATATGTGCGTAAATTAAGTGAAACACCTACTTTTTTCGTTGAGTGACACTCTTGTGGGACCAAATTTAGGAATCAAGATAATTAATTCAGGACTGAAGTAATAGATGAGAGTAATTAAATCAACATTTATAGATTGTGGTGTATATATGGTGAATGCTATATGTATATGGTATATACGATAAACACGTTGTAATGTAAGTACGCATGAATTGGTTATTGTTCACAGGGCGTAAAATACCTTTCCATGGCCAAGCAGATCACAGTAGTACGATAGTCCGAGGAAATGGGGGGGTCATCGTTACTCATAAGAAATGATTGACACCATGCTTTTCGACTCGATTTCAATACGATGACATTATTACACAGGCAGGCAAGGGGTAAAGTCGACAGATCTGTTTGCCGCAAGTTTATCGTAAAAGAGATTTTTCGATATTGGGATTAATCTAGATGCACCACACCATGATAAGCGGCGATTTGTTTGTATCAATCACACAAGTTGATTAATTAAATTATGCCATTCGAACAACAACAATAAATTGTGCAAAGCATAACAAAAAACATTCAATGATCTTACAAACCACCGGAAAAAGAAGTATGTATAAAAGTGGAAAAATGCATATTTTAGATTAGTAGGGGCTAACTACCGTATATTAAATGAAGCAGGAAAAAGCACGCTAAGCACATAGGAAACGTACTATTCCTTTACCAAATACAGCGGTTTGCAGTGTAAATCTATGCCAAAGAAAGACTCTAAACGGGTATAATTGAGACAGTAAACGCATGGCTTTGCTAACACGACATCTCAGGGGATGCGATATTACTGCAAGTCGATAATATTTCAAACTAGTCAGAGTGATTGTGTCGTGGAAATCAAACATATGAAACAGCTGTGAGCTCCACGACAATGACGTTTAAAATGCAGGGAAAACGTGCATATAACTGAACCTGGTATAATGGTAGGAACACAATAACCGGTAATACAGGGGTAGATAAACTATTTTAGATGCTACGCTACAAACGTAAAGGGCAACGAGAACAGTGCTGTAAATATTGTTAATGGAAACGAATTGTCCCGTCGAGTTAATAATAGCAGCCTATTAATAACATTGTCGCTTTCGATTATGAAACGAGTGTATATAGTTTCAAATGAATAGATGTGTTACACGTCACACATTTTCACAACCCGCACATATCCCGGGGCAAAGATTATACAGTGATAGTACGCAAACAACCCCCAGGAAAACAAAAGACGCTATGGCGCACAAAAGAAAACTAAAGGCAAAAGGCATTTGCACGCAGAACAAGAAAAGCAGGTTGTGTTGTAGTGAGTACTTCCGACCCCTTAATGTGTAAAATTGCAGAACAAGTTTGTTTCAAAAGACAAATTGGAATTATTGTTTCTCTATTTATTTATTCTTTGTTACAATCAATTACTAACTTAAACCACAGAATATTACTTATGAGCAGTTTTCCTATACAGCAAGTAATAACAACGTCAAGTATGTTTATTCGGCAAAAAATTGGTTTAACTCATACTTAAACATGAAATCTACAGACAGGCTGGCGTACGGACTTTGTCAAATGTGATCCAAATAACTTTTGCCAATTGTCAATTCCGAACTACAATTCTTATTTTATATAGAGTTTGAGATTTTTTCAATTACGTTGCAGTAGTCTCAAATTAATGCACATTACTTGTATACGATAATTTTTTTCAAAAAAGTCCAAGTGCACAGAAGCCAAAAGCAACTTCTAGAAGCGATTAGTAAAGATTGTCATAAGAATCCAAATGATCGATTATGTTGTTTCTATGGTAAGACATAACACACATGGTAATTCAACTATTATAGTTCTATTCATGCAGTCAAACCTCTATAAGTGCAACCTCCATGCAAATTTTGCTTACGCAATTGCAATGCATGAAATTCATACAGCAGATACCGTATAATATTGAATATATTAACACAGTGTTAAAATTATGTCTTGCGTGTGAGTGAATTATTTTTAACCATTTTGTCTGGCCGGTAGCTAAAATATTTATAATACAAAGAAATTATATGATACCGTAAACTGCCGTGAATAAGGGCCGTAATGTTACGAAATAGCTGGCCCCTCACCCCCTTCATCACATCAACAATCGACATTATATATTACTTTGTTTAGTATCGCTGATTTATTATAATTCATCATCTTCACAAACATCTATATAGCTGGTTCATCTTCCCCTCCAGCACCAATTAAGTTGTCTTCTGTACCTATTGAGATCATTAGCAGCCCACGGACTTTACTACAATCTTGCATGGAATATCGTACCAAGCTTCCCTGATCCAATGATACATTAAAGAATTATCGAAATATACCGTAGTTCGTGATTATGTAATAAACAAAGATAAAGCAATTGTTACGCAACCAAACATCTCATAAATAAGATATGATGAAGGTGGGCCCTTATTCACGGCAGTTTACGGTAAGTATGAAAACAAAAATTGGTATTACTAATGTATAGTGATATACGCGCGTGAGTGACGTTAACAAGCCAAAATGACTGTCGTATTGTTAGTTTACTGTGAATAAATATATACCTTGAAAAGTTATGTACTGATGTCAGAACGATTATTGGCACTTTTTGAAATAAAATTTTCTTCAGGTAACTAACCAGATTGTGCAATCAAATATTACGTCCTCTCATGAATATATAATCTTAGTCTATTTTAATTACCGATTTATGGCAGCCAGTGTTGTATCTGACTATCTCAGCTCTGGGCCAAAATTGAGAACCATTATATAAACTTTTACAGTAACTATAACTTGTAATTCACAAAGCTTTGTTGCATACACCATTAACCAATTGAGTAATCGTTGAAACAGATTACTGGACAACAATAAAAGAAAGTTTGATCCGCTGATTGGTAAGCAAAGACAATTGTATTAAAACATAATAATTGTGAGATATAACAATAAAGTCATTCCAGGAGACAGATCGATGAGCAAAAAGAAACACATGTACATTATGAATTTGCTTGACGTAATATAGAAATTATTTAGAAAGATACTGTTTGGTTTAACATAATAGGAAGCCAATACATTGGATCACAATCTTACATAATGACAATGATTACGAGGGTAAGACTCTAATAGATCCGCCACGCGTATTCAAGAAGATTACCTGCAGATAGCCTGTTTTACCGTGCACTCACACATTTGGTAACTTGTCCTGGCGACTAAATACTTGACTACTGCTCGTCAATTTCTTCGTTGTGATAAGATCGATGCTTAGATAATGAGGCCAATAACTTGGCTAACTTTACTACACTTGTGATATCTCAATGGTCCGGTTCATTCCCCGAAAATTACTTCCCCGACTGCTCATTTCCCCGACAATTATTTTAAAGTTATTTTTTGCCGGTAGGCAATTGATGCGCGGACATTGAATATAAGGAAAAAAGTTTGCGATGCACTTAAACAGGTACACCAGGACGATAGAAATTAGCTATCTAGCATCTGAGAATGCATTATTTATATTATCTTGGACAACGTTATATAATAATATCTATAACATACGCAATGTTCAATGTCAATTATTAATTACATTATGTCTTCCTATAATTCCTCTCCTCTTCTGCCATTTCATTATCGTTTACCTCCGTATCATCTCCTTCCCTGACCGATTTACTAATAATGTCTTGCATTTTGGCCCGTTTTAAGTAACTCTCTTTCACAACATTCTTATATTGGCGATAGAATTCGTTTGCTCATCACCAATACAAAATCTATGACCAACAGATCATCCTTAGTGTCAATAACTCTATACTGTTGATAGCCCTTTTGTTCTCTAACCGGAACGTATGCTAGCGTCTTTTTGTGACTGGATTTTCTCATTGACACACACGTAACCCTGCTACGTTGTCTTCCAACAGACCAAGCGTAAACGTAAATTAAAAAATAAGATTATCTGCAATCTGTTAGTATTTCGCGACTTTGTAATTGATGGTGGTGCTCTGCCTTTTTTGATTATAAAATGCTAATTATAATGGTCTATTCGGCATTCCTTTAACGTAATTATTTCAGTTAGCAACGGTAGACTTGTTCTTTTTTGAATAAAGCAAAGCATACAAATCTAGTGATCCTGAACACCAGAGGAAAGTGGACTTCCGACGTACTTTGTAAATCATCCAGTCTATCTGATTGATACAAAGGCATTTAATTCATTGCCAGAAGGAAATTCTCACGTACCATTCATGCTTCGGGAATGTTCTACCGTACCGTTAATATTAATGAACACTTGCAGACATAGTCTCTTATGCCTTTGATATTGATATCAAATGCTAGATC